AATAATGATTTTATTTTTGAATAAAATATAATTTTGAATATATCATAAAAATTTGAAAAAAAAATATATCAATGTTAATATCAAATCAACTATTTAAAAATTCTCAATTTTGTGTAATTTCTTTAATTTATTTATTTTATTATAATTTAATTTAAGTTTAATAACGAAATGGTTTATTTTTGGTTTAATAATATAATATTTTATAAAGATAATAATTAACTATTCCGTTAAAATTCAATGATTATCCTAATTATATTTATATTTTTAATATTTAAAATGAGATGTTTATCTTGTATTTGATTATGTTTATCTGCAATTAGTTACATGAATTCAGATATAAAGATTTAATAAGTTGTACTTACGTTCTTGAGTTTTAATTAACATGCATTAATAAACAGTACTTTATGCATAAAAAGTAGTTTTTAAGAGTTTTTGCCAAATGATTTATAATATAGTATAGATAAAGCATTTGACAAAAACTTTTAAAAACTATTTTTTATACATGAAATATCATTTATTGATACATATTACTTAAAATTCAAGATTACAAATAAACTGTGTGTAAGTACAACTTATTAAAGTTTCATGTTTGAATTTGTGTAACTAACAGCAGATAAATATAGTCAAATATAATATAAACATTTCATTTTAAATATAAAAAATCTAAAATATAATTAAGATAATCATTGAGTTTTAACAAAATATCTAATAATTATTTTTATAAAAAAATTATATTATTAAATCGAAAATAAATTACTTCATTACTAAATCTAAATTAAATTATAATAAAAAATTAAATTAAAGAAATTACACACAAAAAAAAAGAATTTTTAAATAGTTAATTTGATACTAATATTAAAATATTTATTTTCGAAATTTTATAATATATTCAAATTTATATTCTATTCAAAAACATTATCCCTTTTTCAAAGCCACATAAAAATTGTATTAAAACATTTACAGAGACGGAATAAAACGAAACATTAAAATCGAGATATATTTTGCTACATTACGCGAGTACCTTTCTAGTTATATTGTAAAGCATTTGATAAAAACTCTTAAAATCATTTTTTATGTATGAAGTATTGTGTATTGATGTATATTAATTAAAATTCAAGTTGACAAGTAAATTGTGCGTAAATATAACTTATTAAAGCTCCATGTTTGAATTTGTGTAACTAATTGCATATAAACATAATCAAATAAAGGACAAACATTTGATGTTAAATATAAAATATCTAAAATATAATTTAGGATAATCATTAAGTTCTAGCAAATACTTAATTATTATTTTTATAAAAAAAATTATATTATTAAACCAAAAATTAAAAAATAAATTAAGGAAATACAAAAAAGGAGAATATTTTATATAATTAGTTTCATACTAATATAAATATTTCTTTTTTCAAAATTTTATTTAAAAATAAAAACATTATCATTTTCCAAAAACCACATAAAACAATATTATAACATTGACCGAGACAAAAGAACGAAACATTGAAATCGAGATGTATCTCGTTACATTATACGAGTATCCTTCTAGTATACTCTAATATAGATTAATTATTATGATTTAATATATTACATAACAAATATTCTAAAGTAAAATGACAAAAAATAGAGAAAGTCTAAAAAATCATTCACGTAACGAGGGATTTTAACGTACGTTAATGGGATGTACCAGTTCCTTTTGCAAACTACAATAGTGATCTATATTTTTAAACTCTATGGAGTAAACCAAGGAAAAGAAAGGAACCAGAATGACCAAAAATATAGTTTACTCTATAAGTTTTTAATACTTTGATTTTAAAATAAGTGTCTATGTTTATATTTTAATTTATTTTAAAATAAATTTCACTTTCAAAAATAAGTAAATTCTCATTCTAGATTTCATTATGGGACGCAAAAACAATCTCTATAAAAATTAAAAATATTATTTGATTAACTAAGAATGTAATACTTATCCATTTTTTAAATTATATAAATATTTATTTTTTATAACCAAATAGGTATTAAAGATTTCGGTATGGTTGGAACAGTATATATGGCCCCGTTAATTTAATGAAATTAATATCAACCGTTCTACAAAATAAAAAATAATGTATTGAAGTTTAGCTCATTGAGTAATAGTTTGTGTTTTCAGAGTTCAGAAGTCATTCGTATGTGTCCAGTAAAATATTTTTCTGATTATATATTAAAACCCATAATTAATTAATATATAAGTTGCGTAATTAAAATAAAATAATAAAGTGAAAGGAGTATATGCAACTCCTGTTACATATATGGATGGAGACATGGAGTTGAAAGTGAAAGATGTAGAAAGAGGACAAGAAGTGTAAGGTGGACATGACCACACGGTTTAAGAAGACCATTATTCGCTCTCACAACTCATCAAAATCACATCCTTTTTTTTGTTTTTTGCTTTTGGGTTGCAAAATAGATCCCTCAAACAGATCGTGAATTATGTTTAAAGCAGAAATTTTGAAATTTTTTACTTTAAATAGTTATTGGGGTTTAGTTAATGTGATACCAATTTGTTTTTTTTGTAATATCCATGAGATCATTTTTTTTTACATTTGAAGCTTCACAACAAAATGTTGTAAATGTAAAAAAAAGTCGAAACTTCACAGCAAAAACATGTGAAAGTTACTTTTACAGCGTTTTGCTGTGAAGTTTTTAGTGTAAAGCAGTGGTCTCACGAAAACAGACTAGTATCACGTGATCCTAAGTCTAGTTATTGCGTCAAACAAATCGTCAATTACTTTGTTGGGTTTTAAAATTAATATTGAGAACATGTGTATGTATATATATTTATATATAGGTTATATTTCAAATGCAACCATGTTCATTTGTTCAACCAATACAACCCAATTAATTGAGTTATTTATGGAAATGATGAGAATTCATTTATTATGATTTGAATATTTATGAAATATGACTAGAGTTCAATAATTATGATCAATTTTACATTAGAAAACAATAAAAATCATTATGAAATCACATATTTATCAAATTAAATGAACAGTTGAAATTGAGTTGTATTGGTTGTATAAATGTAAAATATTGCATAATAACTCACATCTCTCTATCTCTCTTTATCTCTCTCTCTCTCTCTCTCTCTATATATATATATATATATATATATATATTATTTTTATTAATAAATTGAGTGTAGAAATTTAGAGGGAAAATTGAATTAGAATGAAACCAACTTTAAATTAATTCCTATTTTAAAAAATCAACTTTTAAAAACCCTCATTTTAAAGACTCGTACAATCTTTTCATGTATTTAAGCATATTGTTCACTTGATAACTTATTAAGACGAGGTAAATGCCAACTAGATTTCTACGTCATGTTTATAATTAAAAAATAAAATCTAAATGCTAATATAACATTAATAATTATGATATTACATATTTATTTATACATTTAATAACTAAAATTACATATTTCATTTTTAAATAAAGAAATTAAAGATTAAAACCTAAAATTCTATCCTACCTTAACTACCACATCCCTATGTAGGGATGGTAATTTGGCCCGACCCGGTGGGGAACCCGGTTCACCCGACCCGGACGGGGACGGGGATTCCCCGCTAAAACGGGTACCGGGGCCGGGGATCCCCGGTAGAGGCAAACCGGGGCCGGGGCCGRGTATTGTATCCCCCGACCCGTCCCGCACCCCGGTATATATATAAATATTAACATTTTGATTATTTGGGCTTATAATTGATATGTGCGGCCTGTTGGACTTATGGACTTGGGCTTTGTAATTGATATGTCCAAATTTCAATCMTCTTCTACTCTTCTTGACTAGATATGATGTAATTATATTAACACTTGTTTTAAATTTTACATATTTCTTTGGATTATTGTTAATTTTATAATTTTATTATTTTTATTAAGCAAGACTAGATATGATGTAATTATGTTGTTATGTTGATCATGCTTAGAAAAAACTTATTAATTTTTATTTGACCGGGTGTTGACCGGGTGTTGACCGGGGGTTGACCGAAGGTTGACCGGGGGTTGACCGGGGTTGACCGAAAGTTGACCGGGGMCGGGGCCGGGGATTGCAAACCCCGCCCCATCCCCGCCCCGTTGCCATCCCTATCCCTATGACCATTTTCTTTCTCAATGGCGGTAGTTGTTTCGATTTGAGTTTCAATGTAAAAAGCTTCAATTCATTAATGGTGACCGTCATTCCCCTGTCGTTTTTATTCTATGATTTGAAGGTTTAATTTCTTGTTCGAAGGTGTTTTCCTAAAATGATAATTTTAAAAGTTGATTCCTTAAAATAGGAAAAAACCCAAAATTAATTTCATTTTGATGCAGTTTTCCCAAATTTAGACTATGGTTATTTATCAAATTTTTATCGAGTAAAGAGTTAAAATTTTGATGCTATACATATCAATATAGTATCAAATTAAAGAGAGTAACATGTTTTTTTAACATAATTTGTTTTGTTGTTTATCGAATTATAGAACAAAGTCTGGCTTAGGATCAGTTATACCGACCCGATTTTTTATTTAAAATTTATTTATGCATTTATTTTTTAAAGTATATTTTTAAATTTATCTTTAAAAGTATTTTTAAGTGTATTTGACTAAAAACCAAAATGTATTTTTAGTGTATTTGATTGACCTAATTATAATAACTAATCCAAATATTTTTATATAAAATTTCAATTTAACACCACATAAGTTAATAAATACTTTTACAAAAAATATAAATTATTTTAAATAAGTAACGAGGGTTTGGTAAATGACAACTATAACAATCAAAAACGCTAAATAATAATTTAACTAATTTGTCATGTGGTTTAGAAAAGGAATTATAAATTAAATATTGCGTCAAGTTTATGACGTAATAATTATTTGTTACTCATCGAGTCATCAACTTGCCACTTAATTGCTTCCTCCCCAGGAGATTTGTGTACAAAATACCCACGAATCTGAACATTCTTTCACACTCTTCTGGAGAGAGATTCAAACACCATTGAAAACACATACGCTCATTACCATCAGATCATCGTCAAAATCACAAAAATGGCGAAGGTAGAAATTTGTTCAGTAATATGGAATTCGATCCTGCATTGCATTTGTTTGAATTACTTGGCCTTAAGTTCTATATATAATTCATTGTTTTTGCAGCAAAAGATTGTGGTGAAGGTGATGATGAAGAACCACAAGTCGCTTCGCAAGGCTTTGCAGATCTCCGCCAGTGTTTGCGGTAAGATGTTCGACAACTTGTGTTCTACGTTTCGTTGTTTTCCTCCTCTGATTAATTGATTGCTTTTGCCTACTACTTTCCACAATTTCAAATTCAAATAAGAAGTAAACAATAACGAATTCAAACACCTCTCGCTTATCAAAGGAATCTCGCTTGAATTCATATTCGAATTATATATAAAAACGACCTGGATCATATCGTATTCGAAATTCCGATTGACAAACTTGAGTTTCATTTAAATCGGAGCATTTGCCTTGGATGAATCCTTCCGTGATTTCGTCAGAATTTTGCTGTTTGGTCGTGATTTTTCTTATTTTATTCCTAACGGTTTGAGATCTGGATTTGTCTTTCAACAAAGGATCTATATGAATTATCCTGAAAATGAACAAACAGGGGTGGAATCAGTGACGCTGCTGGATAAAGAACGGATAGCGGTGACCGGAGAACAAATTGACTCAGTTCAACTAACGTGTTCGCTAAGAAAAAGAGTAGGGCACACAGATCTAGTAAGTGTTGGTCCGGTAGAGGAGAAGAAAACCGTCAAACCGATCTCCATCCCCGAAATAGTGCGGTATGAGTACGTTTATCCTGAACACCACTGCTGGCATACCGCGCCAATGCCATTACTGGCTGTCCATGAATTCCCTTCCAACATTTGCAGCATCTTGTGAGATTTCCATCGATCAATTGAAACAAAGTGATAGAAATCAAAAATAAATTCATTAAAGGTAAATTCGAATTTTGGTTTGATTTTTGATTCCCATGCAATAAATGGAGAGAACTCCATCTTCAATCATATGTTTGTATGTATGATAAGTATTAGCTGTACAATACGAGGCTCCATTTAATGATCCTGACATTTTGTATTTACGATTGTTTGGTATCGTAGGTTATGTTGGTATCAAAATTGGATTTCGGATTCGTTACTTGATGTTTAATAATCGCTGAACGTGTAGAACAATTGATAAAAATAGTTAAATGTCATGGTGTCTATCTCATCAGAAATCGACAACACATTTGTTCTTAAATGATGATGTTGAAGCTCTAGCATGCATTAATGAAGGTCTTTTATTGAGCAATTAATGAGGGTAATTTTCATTTACGTGTCCACTTTATGACTTTTTTTAATTAATTTTTATATATTTAATTCAATATTTGAATTTTTTTTAATTAACTTTTAACGGATGCCTTGAAGCTCTAGCATATGTTATTAAAAGACTAACATTTTTGAGGTTTGTTCATACCCTCAGCTAATCAATAAATTAGAGCTGTTAATGAGGATGATTTTGATCTGTTGACTTTATGGCACTTATTAATTTTTTTATATGGACAATTCAAGATTTAAGCTTTAACTTTACAAAAATGATTCGATCAAAATGAGCCAATCATGTGATTTGCCACAAAGACATCGCGTCTTCTTATTATACACCCGCCTTCTTGTTTCAATCTATTAATTATCATTGATATGAGATAAACAAACCAACAATATAGCTGAAAACCTAAGAATACTCAAATCTCAAAATATCACATCATCGTTATTGGTTGTTTTTTTAGTGTGTATATATATATATATATATATATATGAATTAATATACACATAAGTAGTTACAAAACATTAATAAACGCATGGGCCATATATATATATATATATATAATATATATATATATATATATATATATATATATTATATACAGAGAGATAGAGTGAAGTTCATACGAAAATGATACATATTTAAAAAATAATAGAATGAATATGGACCATACATTTCATTAAATAATAACTTAAATAATTAATTTTAAAAATAAGTAAATAAGGGTATAAAGGTAATTTAATTATATATAAGTTATTTAAGGTATTTATTTAATATTCTTATTTTACCATATTTATGATTTTAATATGATTATTTTTATTTAATTTGTTTTATATTTAATACATTTAAAATTAGCATAATTAAATTCCATATAAAGAATTCATTGTTTTTATTTAAAGCAATATTTAAAAGGAATTATTATTTCGTCAAAATCATATGTGATAAAATGTTTTCTTAATCATATATGATTTAAAACTTGAAAAACAGTTATTCTTATTAACATTTAAAAAGAAAAATAATGAAAAAACAAAATCAAATGTGATGTGTAACAAAACACATTTAAAATGTACAAGGTCACATGTAATTCAAAATGTAACTCGTAATTTACACATATCACATGTAATATTGTAGATAATCAATATCATATATGATACATTAACGAAAATTAATGATTCCTTTTTGAGAAAAAAAAAATTGATTAAATATGGATATCACATATGATTTTTAACAAAAATTGTAAAAAGTTCTTAAAACAAACTACTTCAATAAAAATAGATATTTTAAATGAAAAACTAAATCATATTTATTTTAAATGTTGTAAAAACTAAAACATAAATAAATGAAAAGTTATGCTTAAATCTCTAGAACTATAAAAAAATCATGAATAAATACTTAATTGATTTTTATAAAAATATATAATTTGTATATTATAAATGACACATATCCGCTTTTGGATGATTTTTTAGAAATTTTATTTAAGGTATTATTCAAATAAATGATTGGTCCAAAATATATATTTTCATAAATATATTCGATTGTTTTCTAATATAAAATGTTGATCATAATTAGTGAACTCTAATCATCTTCCATAAATATTCAAAATTTGTATGGTTTATAATATTTGCATGGTTTCTATTTGATTTGTCATATATATATATATATATATACACACACACACACACACACACATCCTTGCGTCTAACTTCTAAATGGCGTATGGCGTAACATGGTGACGAGATCAAGCCTCAAGCCTTAGGAGCCATGACAAGGTCGTGACGTTTTTCAAGACATGACTTATGGCGGCAAATCTTTAATGTTTTGCAAGTTGGGGGTATTTCAAAAACAAACTATTTGTGTCTTTAGACGAATAAAAGATTTTTCTTACTCCTCATAAGTGTGATATTTTGAATTTGTTTGATTTGATTTCAATCTCTCAATGGCCGTCTCAGCATCATGTGCTTATTCAGATATCAGCTTAATGTAAATAAGCACCTTTTACGACCTTGATAAACTCTTTTGTTTTAGTTTTTAAGCTGTAGGATATTCATCAGTCGAAATTCAATAGATTTAGGTGGTTCCGATCCAATCATCCAATATGTTTGATTTTGTTATCCGATCCGATGCAATTAACATTGGACATTCGACCTAATTCAATCTAATAGATGATTGGATCGGATCGAATCCATCCAATATTCTGATACAAATTTCAACCAATTAATCTACCATTTCAACCAATTATTTATATATTTTTCTTAATTTATCAAAAAACACTACGTATAAATATCAACTAAAAAACAATTTCGTAAAATCTTAACAATTATATATAATTATTAATTGAGTAGTAGTTAGATAATAATTTGATGGTCATTAATGGTTATTAGATTGGACCAGTTCGGTTTTATTAGATTATGAGTTGTCATCCAAGAACCGACCGATCCAATATGTTGAAATTTTGGATCCAATCTGATCCAATTACAACTGGACATTCGATCATAATGATCGGTCTAAATTGGATTGAATGGCTTCTTCCATACCCCTATATAAATAAGTTGTATCAAACTCGTATTTTATATTGTTTTAGCCACAAAACAACAATCACCAGCGGACTCATGCACATAGGGTGCTTGATGTTGTGGTTTTACTTTTTCTTTGAACCTTCACGTGACTTTACCGTCAATGTTGTCCCGATTGAGCTTAATTAGTATTAAAAGAGTGTTCCCGACTAACTGATTATAAAATGGATATCTGTATTTAAAAAACCGTTAAATCTGATAAATTACGTTTTTTACTAAATCTTGAATTTGAATTCATGTCTAATTCAAAGACAGTTATATGCTCAATTATTGAATTGAGCATATAACTACCCAGATGAAGTCATTTATAGTGAACATAAATACACCCTCTCTTCTCATAAATTGATTGCAAGAGACCACACGAAATTAATACTACCTCATTAAAACCCAATATAACCCGACACAGATAAGCACAATGAAATTGAAATACCTGTGATATGTCTAACCCAAAGTAACGTGCGTTTTTTTGATCAATTTGACACCAACGATGTCCACATGAGACTACAAGTACTGTTTCACTTCTAAATAGAACCCGAAGGTTAGGTGATGATATAGAGGGACTACGGTCGAACTGCATACACACAACGCAAAATAAATAAAAAACCAGAAAACCACAAAAAACGGATAAAAGTATATCAATATGAATGTCAAATTAATGAGAAAAATATGATTGTTTTTCTGGTGTAATTTAGTTCACTCGATTTTTGTTCAAAATTATTCTTTTTCGTATAAAAAATAGGTGTGTTGAGTTTTTTTTTTTAAATTTAAAATATTGTTGAAAACGTCTATTTAATCATATCCGTTGAATCAATTAATCTAATGATTCATTAATATTATTTTTTTCTGAACTACACTATATGTGTGTGTGTATGCATGCACACATGTATAGATGTATGTGATTTTTTTTTTGAAAGAAAATATATTGTATACTAAGATTAAACTTAAAATATAATAATTAATTTATTTATTTAACTCAAGTTATATAAAAAAAATTAGACTTAATTACGAATTTGGTTCATGTGGTTTGTGTGGTTTTTAGGAAATTGGTCCCTCGAGTAAAGATAAAAAGAGGAAAAAGACGCAAGTTTTCTCAAAGTAAATGGAGAATTTGGATGTCCGTTAGAATGAGGGACCAATTCATTACAAAATGACAAACGACGAGTCCTAAATTGTAATAAATAAAGTTCAGGAACCATTTCTGTAAAAACTACTAAATTACATAGACCAAATCCGTAATTTACTCAAAAGATTTTATTTATCTTCAAAGTGTTTTATTCTCTTAGTTAGGAGTTGACCTTCAATCCCAATGATGTTGCAAACTACTTTAGGGTGATTTACCAATTGTTTACTAGGTCAAGAATTTATAATTCTTATTTATTTTTATCGACTAATATTTTTTATCATCAAAATTGATTATCAGCCTCCCTTTCAGTCGTCATACCCTTTTCTTCAATCTCCGTTAAGAATAATTCCTCTGGTTCATCCTCTTGATCGAAGTCTTGCAAGAAGATTCCAGGTACAGGGTCCTCCTTATTCTCTTCGACAGTGGGTCCTAACTCCGGCTCAGAATTAACTTCCATATTAAAATCCACCATCGAACTTCTTCATTTGGAAGATTTTTCTCTTCTCGGGTCTCTTTAAACATCGTCACTTTTTCTTTGGAATAGGGTTAAGAGTAGGTTTATTGTCTTTAATACAAAATCAAGTATATTTGTCATTTAATAATAAATGCATGCATACATTAAATAAAATTAAAAAATTAATCAGGGTCGAATTAGAGGTGGGTAATGCCACCCCTGACCCTGCTCTGACCATGTTTCGGGTATGAGATTAAATCCCCATCTTCGCCCCTACTGGTAAAATTTCCATCTCTAAACACTGGATGAGTATGCTTGAAATGGTCACTCTAATTGCTTCAAGTTACAATATGGTACTACATGTTCTTAGTATGAATGCAAGTTTAACGTACTAACGTTGCAGACACATCCACTGCCATCCTCTTAACACGTGATTTTTACAATAAGATAGTTAATGGTAACCATTACGTAAGAGTGATATTAACATGAGATTACCCACTGCGCACAATTACGTCATGTTGGAAATATTTGAGATCTACCAAGGCAACTACATGATTACTCCGTATCAATATCGATTAAACGTGTATAAAAAACATTTAGAATGTTATAGTACTTGTGAATATGTTGATTTAGATAATCGATTATATCACAAATATTATTGTATCTATAATAATGCCTTTTATTTTATGCCGCTTTAATTGAGCCGTTTACCTAATTGTTTACCCGGTAATCGCTTACCTTAAGAGTCAACATTATAATTTATTTTATCGGGTAACATTGTAGTACATCAAAACGTATCTTATACAACAATTTTACCTGGTAAACGCTTACCCGGGTAAGAGTCGTTACCTTCACTTACCGGGTAAGACTCTCAATTCTTATCATCGTTCTTACCGGGTAAGATTTTTGCCCTTTGTCATGTTCATCCGGTAAAGAAAATTGCTCAGTAAATACTTACCGGGTAAGCATTTAATAAACGACCCCTTATTTCTCTAACTGTAAGTAATTGTTCATCTACAGCTTAATAATTAAGCGATTAACTGATTTGACTTAATTGGAAGGGAATCCATCCCCGTGCTTTATGTCTATTATATGTGTGGATACAATTTGGAGCTTTTAATGAAATAATTGAAAATCGACATTAATTTATAATACCAACAAAATCGCATAATGTAGAAACATGGGTTTTTAGTTTCGAAAAGATTGTTTCCAAATATTTTGGATGATAATTTATTTATTTAGTTTTAAATAATCCCTTAAGACTTTTAGTCGACAACACTTTTAAGTTTGTTTTGGGTTAGTTGTCATTTTTTGCTCTATTAAATTTGATTTAAAATATTTTTTTTAATAATCATGATTATCTATACACATTAGATAACTATCTATACTATGTTATAAAATATTTAACAAAAACTATTAAAAACTATTTTTTATGTATGAAGCACTGTATATTGATACAATAAATTATGGATAAGTACAACTTATTAAAGTTTCATGTTTAAATTCATGTAATTAACTGCAGATAAACATAATCAAATAGAAGATATACATCTCATTTTAAAATATAATAAATCTAAAATATAATTAGGATAATTATCAAGTTCTAACAAAATAATTAATTATTATCTTTATAAGAAAAATTATATTATTAAACCAAATATAAATTACTTCGTTATTGAACCTAAATTAAATTATAATAAAAGAAATTGAATTAAAAAATTACACAAAAAATATGAATTTTAAATAGTTAATTTGATACTAATATCGATATATTTTTGTCAAATTTTTATGATATCTTCAAGTTTATATTTTATTCAAAAATAAAAACATCATCGTTTTTTTCAAAATCTAATAAGATATACTATAACATCGAGTGAGATAAGAAATATAATAAAATATTAAAATCAAGATTTATTTCGCTACATTACACGATTACCCTTCTAATAATTATATATATATATATATATATATATAAAGTCAGATTTAAAGGAAATTTACAAAAAAATAAAAAATTGAAAAACATCTGATAACCATTCATCTGGATGACATACACATGATATATAAGGAATTTGTAATATGATATATGTATAAAAACAAAAAACAGTTTCAGTTAATTATATATACATGTTTATACCATCCAGATGAACGATTATCAAAGTGTTTTTTTGATTTTTTATTTTTTACTAAACATCTCTCTCTATATATACATTTGTATATATCTTAAATCAAGTTTATAAAATTTAAATTTATGATTAGATATTATATTTAAATTTTGTTGCAAAAGTGGGCGGTGGTAACACGTAGCGTGACGGTGTTACGGTGACAGCTAATCGCACATACTCCCTTTTATTTCCTCCCCCCTCCCCTCTCCCCTCTCTCTCTCTCTCTCTCTCTCTCTCGACGAAGGATTACGTTTTGATCTTCCATCATACAAAAACCCTCCTCTTCATTGAAGTTGTGTTGATCGCTGATTCCCTCAATTAAACTGTACTTGTTTCTTTGATTGAAGAATCAGGAAGATCTGAGTAGCCATGTCTTATGCTTACCTCTTCAAGTACATCATCATCGGAGATACTGGTAACTAGTTTTCATGTCTTCAAATTTTTATTGAATTCAATGATGATTTTGCAATATCTGTATCAAATTTTGTGTTGATCGACTTGTTTTATGTAAACAATTGGAGAAAGAGGGCGGCTCATGTGCCTTCGCTGTTTTTGTTGTATATCTAAAATTAGAAATCTGCGTGATTACCTTGCCGGATTTAGTGGTAATTATAAGTGTAAATAGTGGAAACCAACCATAGAACTTGCAGTTTGACCACCTAAATTTGAACACAATTAGTATTTTCGATATAAACAAGGAATTTGGATATTGGACAATTAATTTCTTCAGAGCCTAAATTTCGATATAACCTAAATTTCTCCAGAGCCTTGATTTGATGTAAAGCGAAGCTGTATCATGATACTGTGAGCCACATGTGATGGGACAACAAGTCCAGGGCATCAACGATCCGCCGGTATTTGCCATTTGTAAAGAAAGATCAACTAGAAGTTTGATCATGATTGGGGATTTGGGGTAGTTTAGTCATTTTGCTTCTTTTATCTTATCATGCAGTAAGTCAAAAAATTTCTTCTTCAACTAACCATCTAGGCAGGTGATCTCCAAGATTAATGATTGAAGAAAAGAATATAGTTTGAGGGAAAGAAAGATCCATTCACATTATTGTGTTTGATGCAATCAACCTTTTGGTGGGATGATTTAGGTTCTCTTGGGTGCGATGTGATGCTCATGAGATCCTAGGGATTCATGTGTGAAGAATACCTACTTTTATTTTTGTTGGTTTTCCGGAATCTATTATTATTTTTGACTTCTGGTCAAGCGACGTTTTGATTGAAACATAAACTCGATGCAAATTTCTATTTGGATGTAAGTAGGGAAAGTAAAGACTTGAACAGTATATACAAAGATGCGACTTCAATTTAGATTTGAAAGCCATCTGCAAACAGTTTCAGGCTTTCAGCCATTCTTTTCCTTTCACTAATCATCTCTATTGGAGTTTGGTTGCATTGCATTGAATTGTTATTAATATTTCAAAATTTTATAGTTAGCAAAGTATTTGTTCTCTTTTGAGTCATGATATGAGAGGCTCCATGTTAGGATTACTATTTAATAATGTAGTTGGATATCATTGACCTAAACACACATCTGATACGAATGATGTTAGATTTTGATTGCTGAAATTCCATCTACTTTCATGGTGGTAACTGGTAAGTAGCAGGTAGCAGGCTATCCTTGCCTAGATGCAGATGTCTGCTGATCTACTCCAGTCTTACACTCCTACCTATTTTTCTTGACTTGACTAATTTTCACATTTTCATGTCAAAGCCACAAATTTTTGATGGATTTGTGAAGACCATAGAAGGCCCCACCTCTGATCAGATGTTGCTACCAAAGCAAGTTGTACATTTTACAAAATCCATCAACTCTTTTTTCATAAAGGAGTTTTATCATGCATTATTATTGCTGAATCTGGAAACATGGAATTTTATCATCTTAAGGAGGAATTTATTTTTATAGACGGGGTGTTTGATGGGCTCCCAGCCGCAACTTCTCCTTTTCTGTAAGAGGATCCTGAACCAGACCTCAAACTTAGTTATCCTTAAGGGGGAAATAGTGCTTACACGTCAAGATTGAAATTTGTTTACTGTTTGTTCAATTTGTCTAATTGCTTCTTAAGTGACATTGATAAATTTCCATACAAGTAAATGCTGGTTTAAGTACCTCATTGTTGCTCACTCAAGGCTATAGAGATTTCTTAAAGATTTCTTCCCCTTAAGCTTTTGCATCTCTATGGATCTAGGAGACGATGCTCAGTAATTCAATGACATAATGTATATCATTAGTTTAGCAAGCTCATTGGAAGAAAGAAAACAAAAGAGCAGTGTTTAAAAGGTTTGAGTCATCTATGTATGCGTTATCCAGAGTTTGGGTTTGGAGGGCAGATAGGGGATGCACAAGAAAATTTTGTTTCACGTTATGTTTTCGTTAATGATTGATTGGTCATTGAGGTTGCAGCCTTCTTAGTTTGTATGTGGAAAGAAATATGTTCATTTGGAAATACACTATGTGCTGCCCAGTGTTCTAAAGTTCCGCTACTAGAGCTGCTTAAGCAGATGCCTCGGTGTTAAGCTTTACTCCATTGCTGAAATTAGTTAGGGCTGCTTTATTGGCTACCTAGGGGTTTCACACATTGTTTCATTAGCTACAACTCGTCAAACTAAGTGTGTCAAAAAGTTTTAAGTTGGGAATTATTTGAATTTTCTCCACTTCTTTCATCAATCAAAATTTCTTAAAGCAATTCAAAAAAGTAACGTGGATGAAAGAATGATTTTCTTTTTAGTTCCTATTCTCCAGTGTCATTGATGAAAAAATGCAACTAATGTGGGTGGTTTTTTCATTCAGGGGTTGGAAAATCTTGCCTGCTTCTGCAGTTCACAGACAAGCGTTTTCAACCAGTTCATGATTTGACCATTGGTGTTGAATTTGGGGCCAGAATGATCACAATTGACAACAAACCAATAAAGCTGCAGATATGGGACACGGTTCGTTCTTGCTTTTGTTTTCTTCTATGGTTTTACCTTTCTAGTTCTATGAGTTTGAAATGTTAATTCATGTATATACACTTTTTTGTTATACTTCTGACAGGCGGGTCAAGAATCCTTCAGATCTATAACAAGATCCTACTACAGAGGTGCTGCTGGTGCACTTCTGGTTTATGACATCACCAGGTATGGTCATATGATCCAGTTGTATATTCTGAAAAATTTCTAGCTATATGGTCGTGCTTGAGGAATGGTCATTCATTTTTACGTTCTGAGGTTGGTGGGTTCAAATGGATGTACAAGTTTATGATGCTTGATTGTTGTTCTGGCTTACAACAGTAATAGCTGATATAATCAGAAAGGTTGTTTTATGAATCTTTGTTTGGTTAATGTTTTTGGTGAGAGTATATCTTTTCTAGTTGCTTGATGGCGCCCAATAGCCCATTGCAGAATTAACTTTTCTGAAGTGGTATCCTGCCACATAGCGTGTAGGCCAAAGTCTGAGTAAACTGATACTTCCCTCTTTTAGATTAAATATCTACGGTGAACGTGCTTTTTTCTAATGCCATAATATTCTAATGCCTTAACAAGTCTATTGTGTTATGACGTTGCCCTTTGCCAGTGGATTTTTTCTTTTTTCAAACCATATGAATTATGATGGAGTTTTGGGCCTCATGACTATTGTTAACGGTTTCATCTCTGAAAGCTTACATAATTTGGGATCCTATTGGGATAATGGAAAATAATATGTTACTAAAGAAGGATGGCATTTAACGCCAAAAAACTTAAGAATGAGGCCTTAATGTGGGGGGGAGGGTAGGGGAGGAGTGTGGACTTGGAAGAAGGGATGGTTTGCTCTGTTACCTTCCAATTACAAACAATGAATATTTTGTGAGATTTTGATAGTTAGCCCTTTTTCTGGCTTATTGAGGCAATAATAATACTCCCTCCGTCACAAAATAAGTGTCTATATTAGTTTGTCCCTAAATAAGTGTTCGCTTTTGAAAAATTAAGTGCCTACTTTCCAATTTTACCCTTAAATAGGAGATGGAGAAATTCATTACTCTCTATTATGAACGGGAAAATTGTCATTTAGTTAATTAAAAAGTGTAATAATTACACATTTCTAAAAATGTGTGCCTTTTTCATTGTGAACATGTACATTGGGATGGAGGGAGTATATGGGAATTGATCTTTTCAGTCAGTGGAAGTCCTGTATTTTCTTTGGAGCAAACGAAAACAACAGTGAACTTTTTTTTCTGTGAAGATATAATCCAAAAACATAACGAGAATCTGGGGTTCAAGGGACTGATTTGTATTGTGTAATTTGTTTAAGGAAAATGTTTATGATTGTGTACATGCAGGAGGGAAACCTTCAATCACCTTGCTAGCTGGTTGGAGGATGCTAGGCAGCATGCAAATGCAAACATGACCATTATGCTTATTGGTAACAAGTGTGATCTTGCCCACAGAAGAGCTGTTAGCACAGAAGAAGGAGAACAGTTTGCAAAGGAACATGGTCTAATATTCATGGAAGCTTCTGCAAAAACCGCTCAGAATGTCGAGGAGGTAAACCATCATCTTTTTATATCACCGGAAGATGTTCAATATCCAGTTTTCCTTGCAACAGATTTGAAACACATCTGCATTTTTTAATCTTTCTAATGCTGATCCACACTTTCAGGCATTCATAAACACAGCTGGAACAATCTATAAGAAGATTCAGGATGGGGTTTTTGACGTATCAAATGAGGCAAGTGTTGCTATATCTTTTTGCATAAACCTTTTGTCACCCAAATTTTTAACTAAATCTCTCTGTGCTAGTTGAAACCGATGATTCCAATGCACCAAAATGTTACTTCCTAGAAACTGTTAGGAGCTGTTTGGATCATGGGAATTGAAAGGAATTGGAATGTTCATTCTTTTGACCAAATTCCAAATAGAGTGTTTGGTTCATGGAATAAGACTATGGAATCCTTTCAATTCCAGTCGATTCCTTCACGTACAGATTTTACAATTCAATGGCAATATGCTAGGATTTCAATTCCTTTCCTACAAATTCTTTCCGTAATCCAATTCCATGCAACCAAATGCAATCACAAGGCATGGTCAAATTCCATCAGATTTCATTCCATTCCCTCAAAGTCAAATTCATTTGATGAATTCCAATTCCATCGAATTCCATTCTACGAACCAAACGCCCCCTTAGTATTTATTATGAATGATGCTCTCTGTGAGAAAAAAGAGCCTAATTACAGTCCATGAAGAACAGAAGAACTTTATAGGACAACTTCAAATTAAGAAATTGACTTTATCCGAACTTAAAAAGAGAGGGTAATTTAGGATCATAAAATTGTCTTAAAAATTAAAATCTTGAATAAGACCTTAGCTGTGACAAGAGTTGTAGCATGGACCTTTATCAATGTGAATTCGACACAAATTTTGATTTTTAGGCTTAAATTCTGTTAAGAGGTAAGAAAGCCCTTGTGCTCTTTTCAGAAACAACCCCTCTGTCTCTTGGGACAGAGGTAATGTACGTATACATCTTACCCCCGACTCTGCCTCCAGATGAGATATAGGGGCCGTTTACCAAATGCTTACCGGGTAAGCGCTTATCAAGTCACATTCTCTTACCGCATGAATATGACAAGGACCAAAAATCTTACCTGGTAAGAGCGAAGTCACGAACCGAGTCTTACCCGGTAAGTGATGGCGACGACTCTTACCGGATAAACTATTACATACGATGTCGTTTGGTAGACTAAAGTCTTACCCGATAAGTAAAAGATAGAGTTGAAATTTACCGTTCAGTGCTTACTGGGTAAGTGTTTAGGTAAACGGTCCCTTAAAGGATTTGTTTGGTTATTTATAGCCCATGTGTTTCTATGTATTGATCCTCATTAGGGTAAATAATAATTATATTAGTAAAATGTTGGTAAGGCTACTAATATAATATATGTATGTGTGGTTGTGTTGTGCAGTCTTATGGGATTAAAGTTGGATATGGTGGTATTCCTGGGCCTTCAGGAGGGAGAGATGGATCTTCTTCTCAAGCAGGAGGGTGTTGCAGTTAAAAGACAAATTCATCTTCTATCAGCATCTGGTTTCCAAATTCATGCATAATCTTCTTTTTTACTGTAAAAATTTATAGATATTGGTAAATATTTGTTTGGGTTTTGTGTAGTTCTTGCATTGATTCTATTTCTACCTACATATGTATGTTTTAAGTGTCGTTTGATGAAATGCACGTTTGCGATTGCAAGTGATGGTCTTCTATATGTTTGCTCTCCGTCATCGTAATCTTTGCTACCTCCGTTTTAAATAGAAAAAGACGTAGCTTTAAAGAAATGCTAATTTTACTTTTAGTAATAGAGGGAGTAATGAATTTTTTCGGGTATAATTGGAAAATACTGCGGTTTTACTTTCGCATATGCTTATTTCAAGTTCCATTAGAGCAGCTTAGATGGGGAGGTTTTTCTGAACATGGCGGATCGGTTCATAAACGTGAACGGGTTTTTCATCAAAATGGTAAATAATATAAAGATTTTGGAATTTAGGTGATGAACCGATTGAAGTAAAACATGTTTATAAAATAAATTTGATGTGGCAGAGTCTTAAACGACCAGAGATGCTCTTATCTGTAGTTGTGTTTGCTCTCATCAACAAAAGCATTTTAGTTGCGGGTTTTGTTTTGGCATCCTTTTGATCGCTCGTAGATGTCGTTGTCTCGCTTTCCTCTTGCTATAAGCATCCTTCAATGATCATCGCATTTGTGGCATGTGCACATTGGGGGGTTGTCGTTTAATCTTTGATCGACTTGTTTTCAGTTCATCAAAGTAATCGAGAGTCATTCAAATTCAAATTCAAATTCAAATTCGTGTTCAGTTTTAGTTTAATACTTTATACAGAAAATTACATTTGAAAGTAGGCTTTTTAATGGATAAGATAGATGCATATATTACCTTTTGACCTCGGGGTAAATAGATTGTTCATGTAAAGATTCTCGCCTTACAAAAACTTAATGACAGAGATTTAGCGAAAGATTTTGGAAAGCTTTAGATATTGGGGGGGGGGGGGAGGTGAAAATCTACATAGGAGAAATTTAAGAAATTGTTAAAAGAGAATGGGGACAAAAAGATCATATAAAACTTAGGTGACGTTTGTTTTTTAAGAGGTGTTCAAGTTTGAAGTTTGATTTCACTTCTGATTTATAAGAGGTGATCCTGATGTCTAAAATCTGGATTAGTAAGATTGTTTGTTTTTATGTCTGAAATCTGAAATCTAAATCGGTTAAACTAGTGCAAAAATATAAAAGGTAAATATTTTTTTTTTTACAAAAGTATAAAAGATGAATGGTTTTTGTTAACAAATCTCTTCTAGCCCCCAAAATATGAACCATGTAATAGAGGGCGGATTAGGATCATTATGTTAAAGGGTACATTTACCACTTAAAATTTTAGAGGGCATTTAAAGCTTTTAAGCTTTTATTTTTAGACTTCAGAGGTCTTAAGAAGTAATTTTGAAAAAAACAAATGGAAATATTCGTATACGTTTTAATACAACTTTTAAAATAAAAGCATACAATTAATTTCTTTTCACATGTCATTTATGAAAATGACATTTTTATTTGATGTTCTTTTAGATTTGTATTTGAAAAACGCATGTATTCATATGGCATTTTCAAAAGATATTCTTAATGACTTCTAAAAAAAAACATTATATGAACTTATTGTAATACATTTTTGTAAGACATACACTTATTTGGTATAACTGAACATGGTAAAGATGAAAAATCTTACTTGTTAATAATTATGGCAAGGATCGAGTTTCTTACCTAGCAAGTGAGAGCGACAACTCTTAACCAGTTAGTATTTACCGAATAAGTTATTATACACGATGTCATTTTTATAGACTAAAATCTTACCTGATAAAGCAAGTGATAGTATCAAATCTTACCTATAAACATTTAATTATAATTTAAACATAATATGATTTACATTCATGTATTTTTAATTTCAAATTCTAAAAACAAAACTTAATGATGATTATCTATACTATATTATAAAGCATTAGACAAAAAATTTTAAAAATTATTTTTTATGCATAAAGTACTGATTATTGATGCATATTACTTAAATTTCTAGGTTATAAAGTAAAACTTATTAAAGTACAATTTTTAAATCCGCATACATAACTGCAGATAAACATAATCAAATATAAGATAAACATTCATTTTAAATATAAAAAATCTAAAATATAATTAAGATAATCATTGAGTTTTAACAGAATATTTAATTATTATATTTATAAAAATTAATTCTAAAATAAATTACTTTGTTATTAAATTTAAATTAAATTATAATAAAAAATTGGATTAAAGAAGTTATACAAAAAAAAAAAAAACAAAAACTATTAAATAGTTAATTTGATACTAATATTGATTTTCAAATTTATATTTCATTCAAAAATAAAACATTACTGCTTTCTCAAAACCATATAAAATTGTATTATATCGATAAAGACAAATAATAAAAACTAAAAATTTATCTTGTTGTATTATGCAAATAACCTTCTAGTCATTTTAAATTCTTTGATCAAGATATTTAATCATATCTTAACGTTCAAACAAATTTAATCAAAACAGTTTACTACTTTATATAAAATAATCATATAAATATTTATATTTACATGATGACAAGGATAATAAATAATAATATTCTGATTTTATAGTATTAAAAATGAATTAACATGCATTCTTATCCCTTAATTTTAGTGCTACGTTGTCCCGTTACAACGAAACACGACGGTTTATATATTTCCGAATATGCCCCCCCTCTTTCCATCATCCCTCATCTTCACTCAAAGTAATCACCTCCACGTGATCCTATTTATTTTAATAATTAATAATAATAATAATAATTAAAACACCAGATCACTGAAAAGAGAGACGGTCACACGAGAATTACGTGGACCCACCCCCACTTTCCAATTTACCCTTCTAATCAAATCCATAACCATCTTTATGCTTCTAAAGAATAATTGACTAATACAACAAGTTACATTTTAATTTTAATGTTTAATTTTTATTATTTAATTTTATTAA